CCCAGCCGAAACCAGGACGTCATCTAATGAGTTATCAGGCATCACTTGCTCATCATCCAGCATTCTTATGATCTGCAGCGGTTTGGGGCCTGCCTGTCTCATCTTCATCTCCTGCCGCCTTCTGCACTCTGGGAGACCCACCTTTGACTCCTGGGACACACGCTGCCTCTCTTGGCTATACCATTCAGCTTCTATGCTGCCGCTATGGAATGCACTACCTCTGCCTTCTTAGGGATATCTCTTCATGAGAGCCTGCTTCAGCACTTTGAGCTCTAGCAGCCAGAGAATTGGTTCCTTTGTTTTTTTTCAGGGGACAGCTTTACAGTGCCTGTTTCAAACAGAGGATGTGGCGTCATTTTCCTTCTATTTTTCACTAGCAGGAATACAAGACTACCTCATTCCTTCTGAAACTCACAGCTATCACTGCCAACATCTTTGTGAAGTCTCTAGATAATGCAAATGGCAGCATTTGGTATCTGTAATGGCCCCAATTCACCTCAAACCAGAGATATTTCTCATAAGGCTGTTAAAGTGCATTGCAAAAGTGAGATTCACCTTCCTAGAAGCAACCTAATTATCACAACCAGCATCACCCAACCTGAACTTGAATTTGCAAATAAAGACATATAGTGTCCTTAAGCCTCAGAAAGGTTTTCTGTCCCCACCATGACTCCTCAGTACCAGGAAATAGCTGCTGAGATATGATGGAATCCGTTCTGCCTGGAGGAAGCAATTTCCAAGACATTTTGTGACTCTGCCGCTCCCTTAGGCTCATGATGACTGTACAATCTCACCTATGTGTGACTCAGACCTTGGAGTTCATAACAGCTACTCTGGCATCAGTCTTTGCCAGAGCTTATTTTCCTTGGGATTGGATGCAAAATATCTGTACAGAACAACTACTTGAAAGCCAAAAGGTTCATCCTTCTGTGAATATAAGAGTTTGTCTGGCTGTGCTGGGCCACACAATGTTATGCGCTCACATTTTACCCCACCACAGACACTTTGGAATCTGTATGCAGACCACACTCTGGATTGTCCATAGTTACAAATTCTTCATGAACATATGTCTGGCAGTTACAGTTTTACTTTCTCTATGTTAATGGCAAAACCCTGTATGAGGAATCCTCATTACAACCTCCTTGTTAACAGTAGGAATAATCCACAAGGCATAAATGCATAGCTTTTGTAGCCTATAGATTATGTTGAGTCAGATTTCTTCCCACCCGTACCTCCAAGAGTGCATTTTCTTTTGATCCTAATTGGCGCCACAGAGTTTAAGAACCATGGCCTTTTTACTAGCTCAGTGGCCATCTGGGATGCTTACCTACTTGTATGGGTAATAATCAAAGTTTTTGCACTTGGTCACTGAAAAAATCCTTAAGAACTTGGTTAGAGACTTCTCTCTTTTTACAGAGTAGTTTCCTCATTCAAACCTTCATTTTGTCTTGACATATAGCTTGGCTCTTGATCCCATCACTCTTTTGAGGAACACAGACTTTCAGGGGTTATAGGCCAGCACAGCAAAATCATGTACAGGACAGAAAAGTAAGAGAGACCTTGGGGGTCAAGCGGAAAGGAGCCGTGTTACTAAAAATTCTGATTAAGAGGGATCAAATACCAAGGTCTAAATCCACGGTGGTCTCCATGTGCCATTTGAACGGGGAAGTTACTTGCTTGTCTTCATTCCTGACCCAACTATACAGACCTTCCACCCCCTCTCCCCAGCTGTCAGATGAGTCTGGCTTAGCATTTAGACATGCTAAAATCATTTAGGAGGTATCTGGCAACATAAGAAAGTCCATGGGCAAGGCTATGGACCAGAGATGGTCATGCTGGGATCTGCTACTGGAGTACCAGTGTTGAAGCAGCAGTGACGAGACTTTTGGGCACTCCAGGAGTACCCTGACAACCAGGCAGCAGCTCCAAGAGCTCCTCTTGGTAAAACATGCAGCACAGACATTTGTAGTCCCAGCCGCACACTGTGATGACAGTAACTATTGCAAGGTGTCCGAACAAGGCTCAGCTTTTCCTATCGGATTGGTCTCCTAACATCTCCATTTGATATTTGAGGGCTCAGGGGGATTCTTCCTGTGCAAAGAAATTGCTGGAAGGGGATATGAAGATCACTCCCCCCAGTAACTGGATATTTTTCAGTGCCTGCTAATAAAAGCATCATCAACATGCTTTGCATTCTCTTTACCTTGGAATCCCACTAGAAAGTACTTGGGAGTCTGAGGCTAAGAGGAATCAAAGGTGTGGGGGCCATTTATGTGACAAATGTATTCTGATAAGTAAAAATTCTGGTTTGAAGGGATAGTTGCATGATACCCATACTGCAAATGTGTTTATGAACAATAAATTTCAAAGAAACTCCAGCTGTTGGTGAAAAGCCTTCCATTTTATCCCAGTAGTATAGCAATATAAGCATGTATTTTACACGTCAAAAACAATTCTAACTTGTTGTATCTGCTTTCTTAACTTGATTTTATTAGCTTTATAAAAATGCTTCAGGAATTTTCCTCTGTAGTTGCCTAGTAGTTGCTAGCTAATTTGTTTTAAAATACGTTATGGAATCACATCTCTCTGTTTGCATGCACAAGATGTTCAAAACATGGGTAAAGCATGGTTCATCATAAACTGATGAACTTCAGAGTTATATCTGCAGATTCTCAGTTGCAAGAGATGCAGTGTTGTAAGACCGTTGAATTAACAAAGCCAATTCCATTTCAGTTTACCTTGTACAATGTAAAAAAGGGATTGGGAAGGACTACAGAGGAATGGAAGCCAAAACTCGGAGAGGTATTCCATGCCAGAAGTGGGCAGAAAAAACACCTCACAACCCAAAGTACGGCCTTATTTATATTTGTCTTCATGTTGTTCTGAATCTTTTCCAAGCTTCCCCAACTTCATGGGTATAAACAACTTTATAGTGCATGTTATCAAAGCCAGTTGTCAGGTGAGTTTTAAAGACAACTTTATCTTCATCTGTCTTGTTACTTTTGACTCTACTGGTAGAGAACTGCAATGGTCTGGGTAAGGAAAGGGTGCATTGTCAGCTAGAGAAGTTGTGTCTAAATGCTCGGCCTCTTAAGAAGATTAAATGCTCCCTCTATCAACCCATGATGAAAATTTTGCTATTGGTGACAGTGAGGCCATAATTTCTCTCTTCTGTATGAGGTGTAAATAAAAAAGAAGTGGTAATCATCCAGCTCTGTGACCTCCTGCCTGCCATCCAGAGACAGTCAAGAAGAAACCTCCAGCAAAGCATCTAAGTGCCCAAGCGACCTGCCCAGGCAGAGTTTTCTCAGGGCTGGCTGCCACTGGGCTCACTGAAGCAAGTGTGGAAGCAGAGGGCCTATTTTCTCTGATCTATATTGGAGTTTTATCTGTTTAAAAAGTTATTTTTTGTTGTTATTCTAATGAAACTTGGATGCTTTTGTTTCGATTTTTTGTTTAAAAGCCATTTAGTCTTCTCTGGGAGGATTGCTATAGAAAGAAGTCTAAGGTCACTTTGCTTCAAAATCTCTGCAAATTAGGATCCAGTTGTGTTTGGTGAATAGTCTCTAAAAATACTTCACTTTCAAAGTAGCTGCATTAAGAAAAATACATGACAGATCCACAGGCCATAGTGAGCTGACTAGGTTAGCTGGATGCAAGTGTTAAAGACAATAATTGTCCTTTGAGACTGTCATAGTTGTTACAGGCTGTAAGATCACTCATCATTGGCAACTGGGACCCAGGGAGAAGCTACTAATAATGGTAGTTACAGAATGTTTTTCAGATTTCATTTACGGGTTACAGTGGGGAATCTGTCTCATTTTTACTGTGAATGAATAGAGGCCACGGCTAGCTGAGCAATTTGGACATTTCCCTTCTGCTCCACTAAATTACTGGAGTTAAAATAGAATTTTAATACTATTACAGTTATACACCTGAAAAACACCCCAATGCAGGGTTGGATGAAAACTACTGCAGAAATCCTGATGGGGATGAAAGTGGACCCTGGTGTTACACAACAGATCCTGCTACCAGATATGATTACTGTAACATCCCAGAGTGTGAGGGCCAGGTCACGCACACTGGAGAAGGTATATTTATTTTTCAGAGAAGTGTTCAAGTAGGTAATATTATTCTTGCTATTTGTTCTTGCTTTATTATTGCAGATTGGTTTCAAATGTGAATTTAGATCAAGCTGGAACTTAAGAAGTTCTTAACACAAACGTTGTTTTCCTAATTGGCTCCAGTTATCAAAGTGATTTTCTAAATATGGAGGAACTGAAATTTTTTAATCATTTGCTGATATTGTCCTGCTCTTACCCCTAGCAATTCATTCAATTTTAATAAGAGTAAAGATTGACCTAAGTGCTGTGTTACATACAGAACTCCCATTGCTATCAGTACATACAGATACGTGACAAAGTCCTTCCTCCAAATGACACGTAGTCCTAAAGCTTTATTCATTTGGCTAGGCTGTAATGCATGGTCTTCTGGATTCCTTTCATCATTAGCTGGAGCAAAACCCTCTTTTCCTTTCAGTGTAGTCTTCCATGAATAGATCAGGATCAGAATTCATGGGCTGGTGCGAACCTTGCTTTGTTTTCATTCTGCCTAGGCACTACAGTGGAGTGCATGCAGTGTAATGGTGAAGACTACCATGGAGAAGTTTCCAGAACAGAGTCTGGGCTTGAGTGCCAGCGCTGGGATGCCCAAGAGCCTCATATGCATGGATTTACCCTGAAACAGTGAGTCACGCAGCGCCTGGGAGACCCTGCCTGCAGACAGCCTAATTGCTGCAGCTGGCCATAGCTGACTCACAAGCTTCTCTTTCATTTTCAATGTGCAGCTTTCCAGAGAAGGATCTGAAGATGAATTATTGCCGTAATCCTGATGGCGAACTTCGGCCCTGGTGTTTCACTACCAGCCCTTCTAAACGCTGGGAATATTGCAACATTCCTCATTGCAGTGAGTCTGATTTACTGAGATTACTCCATAGGATAGCTCTTCTCATTGAAATGATGCAGGAAGGGGAAAGGCAAGAAATCACAGTTCTGAATAACCTGAGGAAATCCCTGTGAACCAGGGAAAGTGCACATTAATAAGCAGAGTCACTTATTAAATTTCTGTTACATAAAATCATTTAAGGTCAGTGAGGATGCAGGTGTCACAAAGTGCAATAATGCCAGAGATGTTATAGAAACCCTGATTTGTCTTCAACCACCTTACTTTTCAATTTACCTGAGAGGCATGGCATTCAGGTTAAATCAGGTGGCAGTTTTCAGCTGACCTGCTAACTCATGGAAAACCCCTAAACAACCATGTGGCCATACTGTGATATTTTACCTGGGTCTGGTCAGCACAGCCAGCACTGCCTTTTTCTTAGCAAGGGATGAACCCTGAGAAACAAGTTCAGGCTTCAGGAGAAAAACTTGACTAATCAGTGAGCCAGCTTATCCCGTTAAGCTGAGCACACTAAATCTGGACATTTCCAAAGCACTGAATAATGAGATTAGCATTGCCGTTTGTAGAACTGGACTGCACTTTGAGAAAAAATTTTGTGTTTTTATCTCTAGATCTTGCTTTCTTATGCATCTGCACTTGCCAGTGCTCTAAGCAGCAGCATGTGTTTGCTAGATGTAGTTCAGCATGCTCAATTGCAGATGGAAGAATGACTATTTATAGACTTCTGTATGATAAAGTATATTATGAAATTTACCATAGCACCTCCACTTAGTGCTTAAAATTTAAAGAAAGTTTAAGGAACAGAACCAACCTTTTAGAGTCATACTTGTCTCCTTGGGAAATTTCATATACAAAATATATATAATAGGTATACACTGTAGATTCATTTTTCTCTCCGCCCTCTGCAGGCTCCGTGCCTTTGATCGTTACTCTTACTTTGTTTGCTGTTCCCCACATGCCAGACCAATTCACTTTCTTTCACTCCTCCTTCTGCCCCACTTTCCCAATTCACCGACTCCAGAGGTTCAGCTCTGAAGGCTGTTTTGCTTTCTCTCACAATTTCTTTTTGGCCCTTATCCTTGTCCTTTCTGCCCTTCCACCCTACCTGTGTGTATTATATTAATGTGCTCCCTTCATCCCACTCGTTTTTAGCAGACTGTACAGGACTATTTACTACTGTCTTTCCAGCTCTGCTCTCAGGGGACTGCAGGCACAAAGTCTGGCTTGACCCAGCAAAAAGTTATTTACTGACTACTGAAAAAGGGCAGATACAGGACATCTGTCTGGCAGAGAGACTGCTTGTGAAAATGTACATTTTGGTTTTGCCATGGCTTTCAACCAATGTCACCTCTGCTGAAAGAAAAAAAATGCATGTTCGACATTACAGAAAATAGAAGGGCTTTTAATGTATTTGAAAGCACTGTCTAGCTGTGTTTCTTCTTTTATTTTCTTTTCCTTTTTCTTTTTTTTTTTAAATCCTGTAACAGCTACTCACCCACCAGTCTCTGGCCTGGGGTCCCAGTGTCTTTCAGGGAAAGGAGAAGACTATCGAGGCAGGATAGCCATCACCGAATTGGGAAATGCCTGCCAACACTGGAACACACAGTTTCCTCACAGACATGGCTGGATTCCTGACAGATATCCCTGCAAGTACGCTGAGCCTCGTCATTTTAACACATACGAAAGAACGTAGTTATTCCTTATAGACCCAGATGCAGAGGCAAGAGTAGCACAGGTTTTCTGCAGCTATGTTCATAAGCTGTTTTCTTGCCTTTTTGTAAGCTCTCATTACTTCTCTTCAAGTCTTGCTCTTAATTTTTTTCAGCATTCCTTTTTTTACCAGCTACTTTATTCTCATGTACTTGTCTCACTTGTCTCTTCCACATCCCGCTGCAGAGTTATAAGTATTTATTACTTTTACATTAAAAATCCCCTGGCTGTGTTTTGGCACACTTTCAACACGTTACTCTTCTGAAGAGCAATGCTCCAAGGTCCAAGAGGCTCGAATACATCCTCGTGCTCCAAGGTCAGAGGAGCTGGGTTTGCAGAGCATTATCAAGGGTAGCTGGGACTGACCAGGCTTTTAGCTCTGTATTTTGATTCTGTGGGTTGTGAAGTTTTCCTGGGCGTGTGAAACCCAGTCCATTATCACAGGGCAGAGAGCAGCGTGCACCGGTGCTCATATGCACATGCTTCCAGAATCAGTCTGTGACATCCAGCCTCGCCTGGTTCTTACCGTAATGGTCAGGTACACCAATGCTTTTTGTCTTGAAGTCAGCTTTTACTGCTGTATCTTGGCCTCAAAAACAAGAACAGAAAGTGTAAGCGTTGGAAAAGTTCTTCATATCATCAGCATTTAGACTGTAAGTTTGAAGGCTGTTGATTAGTCCCAAAATAGTGGTGCATGAGGTAATCTCCAAAAAGAATTAATGTAACCAGAGCTGAGTTCTGCATGCAGTAATTGTTATTAGTCTTGCACACAACTCTTCTTGATTTGTATGAGTAGTTTAAAGCCGGTGCTTTTGTTTCAGGGGCTTAGAGGAAAACTACTGTAGAAATCCTGATGGAGAGAAGAGGCCTTGGTGCTACACCATCAACAGCAGCGTTCGGTGGGAATATTGTGCAATTCCCCACTGTGATGGGACACAACAAGGGATTGCTGGTATGAGCGGTACTGTGTACTTGAGAGAAGGACTTTAAAGCAGTGAAAGACTTTTTGTATCTCATTGTACATGTGTAAAATCTTTTTTCAGTCACTTTGTCACTGTTGTTAATGCAGTTTTTCTGCTTGGCATGTTACAAACCTGCCAAATATTGGACTTTCAATGGTTAAGGAAGTGCAGTGGAGGATGAAAATCACCAGCTGACCCAACAGAAGAATTGCAGAATGAAAGAGGTTTATTTTTTTATATTCCATTTTTTTCCCAAATGTAGGGCATTTTTAGCAAGTTAATTGAAAAATGAAAAATAAGTTTAAAGAGATAAAAAAAGTGCTAAATAAAAGGAAGTCCCATTTTTTGAAAGTAGCCATGAAAGAGAGGACAGGATCTTCCAAAGTAATAAAAATCTTATCTGAAACATCCATTCATTTAAGCACAAAAAATAACAAGAAAGTGTTAGTGCAATCAAAAGGATAATAGAGAGGTTAAAATGTAACATAATGTCCATTTTAGAAATATATCAGGGGCAAAATCACTAGTATCTAGTTTTTGAGGATTTTTCATGGGAACTTTCTGATCTTTAATTCAAACATGTTCACATATACCAAAATGAAACTGAGGGATGAACCTTCCACTGAACGGCATCTGACGTATGAGGGTAATCCGTGAAAGTTTTCTAAATGGAAATGCCCTTCTGCTTTTCATGGTGGCCATGATACTCGCACTGGATGCTGTCTGTATAAACGAGTCATTCGTTTTTGTCGTCCTGTGTGTTTGATGCTTTCTTGTGCCTACTCAGTAAGAACACAAAATTGTGATGCAAAAGACCAGTTTCTGTTGTTTGCTGCAGAAGTGCCTGTGCAGGTTCCCCTGTCAGAGGAGTGCTACCGAGGCAAAGGCCAGAGTTATCGTGGAACAGCTTCCATCACTGCATCGGGAAAGAAATGCCAGGCCTGGAACTCCATGTTCCCACACAGGCATGAAAAAACCCCAGACAGATTCCCAAATGCGTATGTTTAACTCAACTTTTCTTGCTTTATCTGACCATGGCTGATTGTATTATCTTTGCACATCTATGCTTTAAAACACTGCCAGGGAATGTATCTATAAAAGAGAATTTTTCCAAGACAGGAAAACATTTTCTGTTAGTCTCATTTTTAAAAACTGTGTTTTCTTGTTATTTAAATTCTGAGTAAAATACAGCTGTGTCCCTTTACTCTTAAATCTGAGCTTCTGTAACCAACACCAGGAGACCTGTATCCAGAGTCTGGGCATCTGCTGACATATGCATTTTGTTTATAAATTTGAGACCTTTGTGGTGGACTTTCTACTTATTTCGTCTGGGGAGAACACAGCATTTATTCTGCAAAACACACAGTCAGATATATTATGATTAGAACTACCTTTTAAATGTTCTTTGTAGTTGGAATTGGGCACGCAGAATTGCATACACTGAGTTTCCCCCTTTGATTTGTCTTCTTCAGACTAACAAAACTGAACCAGTGATGACTTAGAGAGCTAATCATAATTACTAATGTGCCAGTTGTTAATAAGGGTAGAAAAGCAACAAGATGACAATTGCTAGGAAATCCATGATTGCTTGGTGGATTACAAGTATAAGCAGGAAGGTTGATACTTTTCTTTTTTTTCGCCTTTTTTATGATGTCACCCTAAATAGTTGGGTTTTTTTTAATTTTCAGTCATATTTTGGTATCAAAAATACTGATGTATTGAAACTGGAACATCCTCAGAGGGCATGCTGTTTTTCACAAACATTTAAAAAAATTGAAATCAAGCTGTGAAAATGTGGAATTAATGTCTTCTGGCATATTTGAAAAAAAGCATTTCAGGTTTTTTATTCTGTGACTGTGCTGTGATTCAGGATGGGGAAATATTGCAACTCTGCAAAATATTAAAGAAAGGAATCCTACTTCCCCCTGCCCCAGCAAGCACAGGCATGGGAGTGCTCCCACTGAATTCAGTAGAAGTGGGTTTTTTTGGGAGTGGGGCGGATCACTTCGACAAGTATTTATTTGCCATTCTTCTGAGTACGAGAAAGAACCCTTTGACATTTAAAAATAAAAATGTTGGTAAAGCATAATTGCCTACCAACAGTATGGATCTTCCTGCATATTTATTACTAATTCACACATTCATACAATTGTGTATGCTTATACATGTGTACTTAGAAATTAAATTATTGGCATATTGGGCGTTTATTTGGCTACGCAGCACATTGACATATTACAGCCATAATTTAAGCCAGTAGTTGAATTATGTTTCCTTATTTATAAATATATTTATGACTCTGATGTACATGTGAAATATAACTCTCCACTCATATCACAGCCATAAATGTGTTTGCTGGTAATAGGATATTTGGCAAGAAGTAAAAAATTAATAAATGTATTTATCTCTACATAGTACAGATCAACATCTTTTTTGCAAGATGTTCTATGATTACTTTCAGTCTTATGCAGTGTGACTATTGTACTTATTTTTGTAGGGATTTGAGGGACAACTATTGTAGAAACCCAGATGGTGATAACAGCCCGTGGTGTTTCACCACTGACCCCAGCATGACGTGGGAGTACTGCAATCTCAAGAGGTGTGATGATCACACACAAGACCCTGCACCAAATGACCCCCCTGCAACAACAGCACAAAACGTTGGCCTGACTACACGTACCACATCAGGTAACAGCTGGCTATAAGTGTTACCTCCTGTAGTCTGTGGGTAAAGGAAATAGTAATCTATCAAAATTATTCTTGAGTAGTGCGACAAGATAACAGACACATACCTCCTCCAGCCTTCAGATCTGTACTGTTGAATTTTGCAGCAAGTACTCTTTAGTCAGCTCATATCCTCTAGCCTATGTAATTTTACAGTGCATTCTGTAGGATATCTTTTTCATTTAGGAAAACGAGGAAAATATAGACAAAATTTCCAGTGTTTCTGTAGCTGTGTGCTATTGAAATACGATCACAGTGAATGTTGTTGTTATAGGAATTTTGCTGGTGCTGTGCTTTATGCTTTCAGGAGATTGACCTTGGATTGTTCATAGGCAACTATATTTTGCAAAATGTATGCTCCAAGAGAAACAGGTTTTTGCTCTATGCTGCTTCATTTCTTCCTTAATTAATTGTCCATGTTTGTCGAAGTGATGTCGAAGTGGTGTGACTTTTCTGAATGTATAGTAGAGCTTTCCACGGATTATTGACTTTGCAAAGGAAGGTGGCAGGGTTGGACAAAGGATACATTCCTAAATGGAGCTGTGTACTCTTACTCACGGACAGCAGAGGAAAGTACCTGAAGCAATGTCCTCGGAAGCAACAATTGCTCTCTCAGTGTCATGGGCTGCTAACTCTGAAATATGCTTCTCTCATGGAAGGTGCTTACTGACACCAACTTGGCAAAAATCTTGGAGTCTTTTCAGATATTTGCAATATATTGCAGAAAATGTTTAGCCTGAAGTTCCTTGAAATTTTTTCCAATTCAGTTACTCTGTACATCCAGGAAGACATCCATCTTGACAAACTGAGAGACCATATCATAGGGTACATTTTTGTCTTTCTTTCTCCTGTAGAGAGTGTGCAAGTCCTAAAGGTACTTAATCTGCCTTGTTTCTGCTTACCACCACCACATACAGATTCAGCAGCTAACAATCATTTTGTTTTCCTCTTTTTTCACAGACTGCATTAACGGTAATGGTAAAGACTATCGCGGCACGGTAGCAAAAACTGGAAGGGGCAGGACTTGTCAAGAGTGGAGTTCTCAGAAACCTCATAGCCACAAATACTTCACTCCTGTGACTCATCCAAGAGCAGGCCTGGATAAAAACGTAAACAGCTGCTAATGCCATTGGTGTCATTGAACATTGTCTCTGTTCGCCATGACCCCTCAGTAAACACTTCATGTTCAGTCCTTATAGACCAGGTTAAGCGTATCTGGAAGTCATCACGTTGATAGCCCAGACCTATAATAGTGTTGAAGAGGGAAGGATGCATTTTACATTACCTAGGATATGGGTACTTCAAGCACAGAGGTACACCATGGGATTGATTCTGACAGGCAAGCAGCGCAGAAGAAATCATACAGCGCTTCCCTGATTTCTGCAAATCCCAAAGCGATGCCTTTTGCTGTTTGTCACAAACTAAGCCGGCTTCTGGTAAATTCTTGGAGCTGAACTAACTTCCTCTCACTGACTTTAGAGGAAGAAGGATTAGGTGAACAATAAATGTTTTAGTGCAAAGCACTTAGTCATTCTATGTCAAACTTAACTTCTCATGAGGCCTTAAAAAGCACTACAGCTAGGGTGACTCTCGGTGGATGAAGAAAATTATAGCAATTTTATCATTTTTTCATAATCATAATTTCACCTAATAGTTTTGAGATACAGGAAAAAAAGAATTCTGTGATAAGAGGAAATAGAAAGCATTTAACATCCAATGGAAAAGTAGTTGGGGGAAATAATTCAAAGTTTTCATTTAACACTTTTTTAAAAACATGCACTTCTTCATTCTGTGGCTAACATTTGGAGTCTTCATTCTCTGTTTTTGTAATTATTACAGTATTGCAGGAATCCTGATGGAGATGTAAATGGTGTTTGGTGCTTCACAACAGACCCAGAAAAAAAATGGGAGTACTGTGAAATCCCACGCTGCTGTAATTATTCTTAAAGACTTTTCTGTCCTCCCTTTATACAACTTGTTATGGTAGTTACAAAATGTTTTCAATCCAACCATAAAAAATTGCAGTAGGCAGTAGCTTTAGATTTGAATTTAGACCTGTATGGAAGTTTGACACAATCAGGCACCTGTAACAGTCAGCCAAAGTTTAGATAACCATAGATAATAATCTGTGTGCTCTTTATCATCAGTGAAGCTAAGCACTCAGAGTTGCTAGCTGAATTTGAAATATCCAGTGAAGCTGTGAAGAGAGGCATTCCTTCCCTGGGCTCCTCAAACACAGGAAAGGATTTCCTTGATGTTCATACTAGTCTTTCCATACACTTTGTGGCAGGACTAATGCCTTGAGAACCTGCTCATACACTTTTCCTGTTTGTTGGAAGCACCAGAGATTACATCCTTTGAAACCCTTTTCATCCTCTGTTGACTTAGTTTTTATTCTGATCTGGATGTTAAAACAATCAGTCCCTAGATATTTTGCCTTTCTTTTGGGGTAGGGAGTGAATTTGGACCAGGATATTTTATGCAGATTCCCTTAATTCTTTTTTTTCTGTTTTGGGAGAGTAATCAGTACACTGAGCAGGTGTAGTGTTTGCTGAAAAATTCAGCAGCGAAAGAGATTTCACCCTCTGTGGTGCCCTGGCAGTGGGCATCAGTAACAGCTGTAATGTACTGGGAGCACTGCTTGGCACACCTGGCAGTCATCTCATTTGCTTTGCTCTTCGCTTCCTTGCCTGCATTTGACAGAATTTTTTTTTTCTAATCATAGAATCATTAAGGTTGGAAA